GAAAAATCACAAAGTTTACAGACAATCCAGTGACCAATAGAACTCAAAGTAAACATGTATAGCTGGGAAAACGTATGTGAGCCACTCACATTGACTTGAGCGACAAGTGTAGCAAACCAAAACCAAGGCTAAATTTGCATGTTACTTTCAACACCCATTTAAATGAAAACCACACTACATACATAGCAGGGTTAGCAACTTGGCTCTATAACATGTTACTTTGCTTTTATCGCCTTCCTTACTGTCTTTTTCATTTCTTTCCTCTCTAACGAACTCTATTCTTATTTCTCTCTCTTTTTCCTCTCACTTTCCTTTCCTTACTTCTTTTGTAAACATTAGAAGTGAGCGAACAGCACACTGGCTCTCAGTCAGAATTGTGCTTGAAGCTTATGCCATCTGTCCAGTCCATGATTATTGATTTAGAGTCTCGTGCACTTACTATTAGTGCCATCCCCCTCCCCTCATTGCACATTTTTCTTTTCCCAAGTGGAAAGTCTACTCAACCCTAATAAAAATGTCACAAAAAGACCATGGTCTGGCTGTTAAAAACCTGATTTCCATTATTCCAGAATGAAAGTTATATTAAAGTGTCAGGGAGTTTGAAAAGTTCAAAAAACTTTCAGTCAAAATCCACTCTGATCCTGGATCAGTGTTAAAAATAATCATGCTTTGAACATACCTTTGCTTTTTCCAGATTCTCAACGACCTTTGTCAATATCCCAGAGTAGTCCCCTCTTTCAATCTTGAAGGTGCAGCCTTTAAATTCATGTGAACCCAGAAGACCTGCTATGTTGTCTTTCTCTCCACTGGCACCAGGACACGGCTCCGCTGAAAACAACACATTGTACCAATCAATTGCACTTAGCTGAATATCTTTTTGGGTGATACTCAACCAACTGTTGACGTCACAATATGCTGATAGATCAGATGTGTTGTGCTATTATATGGGTTTGCTCCAGTGATAATTAATCAGACACACACATCTACTCAACTCACCAGTTGTCGCTACTGAAGCCAAGCGAAGAATGTACGTCACATGACCATCATTTACCTCCTTAAATAACCTAGTGTTGTAAGTTTCTATTTCCTGTCAATTAAATCAANTGGTATGCTATTGGTCAGTTAAGAAGACATGTTTCACAACATCTGGATACAAAGCAGTTTCATTTTACGACTGCCATAAGAGTAGTAGTATTGTAAAATTAGCATAACAGTCACCAGATTGTTATTTAAAACAAAAAACAAAAACACCGTTTTGTCTCGATACCATTATTGGAGGAAAACATCTCAGAACTCAAAATGTCAGACTGGCTAGTGAAAAATCTACTTATTAAATTCTACATATATGTAGAACCAATCTGCATTGTGCAAAAGGTTTGATCATTTGGTATCAGGTACAACCTGCCCTACAATTCTTAGTAATCTAACAGTTTGTTTCAGTCAGTGTGCAAAGTAGTCCTGTTCAATAGCCGAGGCCTAAATCTAATAGCTTTGCCAGTCAGGCTAGTGGAATGCTGTCAGTCACTTGCCAATGGACAAGTGAAGTTTCTTGGAAAAATATTTTGAGGAATTCAAATTAAAGAAAAGTATTGCAGGAGATCAGAATTTTTTTTTAGGGAGGGGGGAGGGGGGGCTAGTGCACCAGTTAAAGCTTGCCCAAAGTGTAAACCCTAAAATATCTGTTTTCTTTGCACCCTGGTTTAGACACTCATTTTGCATAAAATAATACGTTTTACTGGATTTATGAAAAGGTGGTCAATGAAAAGTGCATTCTTATGCAGCAAGTGAACTATATGACTACGTGCTTGGATTGTATGACTCCCAGTGGCTAAGGAACCAAAAAGCACTTCTTATGGCAATAAAAGTGCACAAAGGAAAATAAGAGAGTTTAGGGGGAAAAAGATAAATAAGAGAGTTTAGGGGGGGAAAGATTGACAATTCCTTTGAATTTTTATATCATCTGCTTTACTCTTACACCAGAGTGAGATTTTCTTTGAAACAGTTTTCATGAATCCAGACATATGTACTCTACATGTATACAAATAAGAATACCTTTGGTAAATCAGGGACAAACTTGGTGTCTCCAAATGACTTATAGTTACCTAGGTTACCATAGAAGGCAGCAGCATAAATCAAAAAGTTCTGTAGAGAGAGCATATTATAAAATATATAGTACTGCTACTACAGGGAATAGGATCAAAAAAAATTATGCTTTTCCTCTTCTCGTTAGATTTAGAAACTTCAATTTATGCCCTGGCCAATTCAAAGCCTGCTAACCGCATCCCAAGGGAAGCTTCTTGGGAAAAAGTTAAAGGAAATTCAAAATAATATAATTTTTTCGGGGGGGGGGAGGAGGGGAGGTGGGAGGGGGGGTTAGTGAAAATGACTTTTGGGCTAGTACACCATTTACAGCTAATTGCCCAAAGGATAAACTGGAAAATTGGTTTCCACTGCACCCTGCATTGCTATGGAACGTCAAGCTAGGGAGGGGACGTACATTTTTTGTTGTTTATTCAAAATTTCCTGATTGACATGGATTGGCACACAAGGCAATAGCCAAGTGTTTCACTAAAGGGCTTTTGTTGATGGTCTTATTGATAATGATGAAAAAGTAGCTTCTTCTAAAAAAAACAAATTCAAGACAAGAGCGCAAAAACCATAACCTACTTGAGACCAAAATGACCAAACTCAATAACCTATTTATTGGCAAAATGGCTTAAAAACTGTACTCTTTGAGGTCACACTGCTTTAATTATAGCCCATATGAGGGAATATCCCCCAATTCCCAGGTTCCCTACTTATAATCTATTGGAGGACAGAAAAAAAGTGTTAATGAAGTAATCTATGTATCTGTCCATCAATAGATCATAAGTAAGAACAAATCAAAATGTTAGAATGATTCAACATATTAAGTAAATAGTACTACAGAATAGTTTCAACAACTTTTTTCCCAGACAAATACGCCTTTCAAAATCTTTTTTCACTTGTGTAACTACATGTATCGTCATCAATAGGGCCATTTATACGAGAAAAATAAGCCAAGGTTTACACAAGCCACAAACAAGCCGCGATACCATTTATATGAGTGGTTCCACGTCTTATAAGCCATGGCTTATTTAAGCCAAGCTCAAAACCCTCGTCTTACACAAGCCAAGACTTATGTTATCCACAGCTTGTGTTGGACGTGAACTGGTCAAAATGTAATGAACCATTTATATGGTAAGTTCGCCTCTTATGTAAGCTGCGGCTTGTGTAATCT